AAGTCGGGTTGCGGGTGCAGCAGCTTGAACAGGGAGGCCCAGACATCTCTTTCCACAGCCACCTCTTCCAGCTCTCCTGGGAGGATTCCAAGGTGTTCCCAGGCCAACCGAGAAACAGTCTCTCCAGCGTGTCCTGGGTCTTCCCTGGGGTCTCCTCCCAGTTGGACATGCCCGAAGCACCTCTCTAGGGAGGCACCCAGGGGGCATCCTTACCAGATGCCTGAACCACCTCAACTGGCTCCTCTCGACATGGAGGAGTAGAGGTTCTACTCCGAGTCTCTCCCGAATAACTGAACTTTTTACCCTATCTCTAAGGGAAAGGCCAGCTACCCCGTGGAGAAAACTCATTTCAACCGCCTGTATCCGCAGTCTCATTCTTTTGGTCACTACCCAGAGCTCATGACCATAGGTGAGGGTAGGAACGTAGACCAACTGGTAAACAGAGAGCTTTGCCTTACAGCTCAGCTCTCTCTTCACCACAACAGACCGGTACAGAGTCCGCAATACTGCAGATGCTGCACCAATCCGTCTGTCAATCTCACGCTCCTTTCTTCTCTCACTCGTGAACAAAACCCCAAGATACTTGAACTTCTCCACTTGAGGCAGAACCTCACCCTCGACATGAAGAGAGCAATCCACCCTTTTCCAGTTGAGGACCATAGCCTCAGATTTGGAGGTGCTGAGTCTCATCCAGCCGCTTCACACTTGACTGCGAACCGCTCCAGTGAGAGCTGAAGATCACGGCACGATGACACCAACAGGACCACATCATCTGCAAAGAGCAGAGATGGAATTCTGAGGCCACCGAACTGGAAAACATCTGCCAGCTGGCTGCACTGAGAAATTCTGTAAAAGTTATGAACAGAACCGGTGACAACGGGCAGCCCTGGCGGAGTCCAACTCCCACCCTGAAGGGGTCCGACTTACTGCCGGCAATGGGAACCAAACTCTCTCACTGCTTGTATATGGGACTGAACAGCCCGTAACAACGGGCCTCCAATCCCATACTCACGGAGCACCCCCCACAGTGTACCCCAAGGAACACGGCCGAATGCCTTCTCCAAGTCCACAAAACACATGTAGACTGGATGGGCAAACTCCCATGACTCCTCAAGGACCCTAGTGAGGGTAAAGAGCTGATCCAGTGTTCCACGGCCAGGAAGGAACCCACATTGTTCCTCCTGGATCTGAGGTTCGACCAACGATCGGACTCGCTTCTCCAGTACCCCTGAATAGACCTTACCAGGGAGGCTAAGGAGAGTGATGCCCCTATAATTGGAGCACACCCTCCGGTCCCCCTTTTTGAAGAGGGGAACCACCACCCCAGTCTGCCAGTCCAGTGGCACTGCCCCCGATGTCCATGCGACGTTGCAAAGGCGTGTCAGCCAAGACAGCCCCACAACATCCAGAGCCTTAAGGAAATCAGGGTGAATCTCATCCACTCCTGGAGCCCTGCCGCCTCAGAGCTATTTAACTACCTCGGCGACCTCAGCCATGGTTATAGCCAGATCAACCCCAAAGTCCCCTGACTCAGCTTCCTCCATTGAAGACGTGGTGGGATTGGGAAGGTCCGAGAAGTATTCCTTCCACCTCCCAACGACATCACTGGTTGAGGTCAACAGCTCCCCACCACTGAACACAGTGTTAGTAAAGTGATGCTTTCCCCTCCTCAGCCGCCTGATGGTTTGCCAGAATCTCCTCGGAGCCAGTCTGTAGCATTTTTTTTTTTTTCATTTAGCCTTTATTTATACAGGTAGTCTCATTGAGCCACGAGAACTCATTTTCAAGAGAGACCTGTTTTTTTAGGGAGCAGATGGTGGGGATTAAGGGCCTTGCTCAGGGGCCCAGAGTGGGGCGAATGAGGGTGGGGGCAAGTGTGAGTGTTTCACCTACCCCACCCACAATTTTGATGTTGTCGGGGCTGGGGCGTGAACCGGCGATCTTCGGATCACAGGCCCACCTCTCTAACCTCTGCGCCACCACTCCCCCAGCATCTTAGCTAGCATGTCTGTATTGCACTCTTCTAACTTAGAGCGACTTTAGTGCTGGCAGTTGTCGTTCGGGGTGGGGTGTTAGGATGCGTGAGAGCAGCAGAGTGTGCTCTATTTACACAAGGAGAGCTGTTGGTCAGTCTACTTGTTGTGTCGAGCTCTCTAAAATAGTTATTGAATCAAGTGTTTACTTATGTAGGTAAACGTAGATGTTTAACAACCTGTTAAAATACACCAGAATGTGGGAAATGGCATCTATTTTATACAAAATTTTCTGGGGGAGGAACCATCACCAGCAGTGTACCCCCCCCCCCCCCACACACACACACACACACACACACACTTATTACAAATGCTTCTGATGCCAAAGCAACTCACTGTTGCTTCAGCAGTCAGCTTACTGGGTCTGTTACACATGTAACATGTACATCTCAAGTGAGCATGTTTTTCTACAAGCTGAATCATCTAAACCAATGGCTGTCAGACTTTTTATGAGTGCCACCTCAGAAATACTCGACTTTTTCATGTAGTACCGCCATTATGTCATGAATTCATTGTTGGGGACAGTTCGTCATGCACCGCAGTCTTCAGCACGAGCCGCTTTCACAGCAGCTCATTGTTGTTCACTCTAGTTTCCACAGCACATCTCAAAATGTTTTCTCCACTGCACAACTGTTTTAGTTTTTTTTTAATATCTATACTTTTTGGAGCCAAGGACTCCAGCTCTGCAGATTTGTGGTAGCTTCACTTCAGAAATCTTTAATGTGGAGCAGGGGCGATTCTAGGGTCTGACCTTTAGGGGTGCTTAGCCCCCAGTACTGACAATGGCTCTTGATTTGAACAATGCACCTCATGGTGTGGTTTGTGAGAAGTACAAAAGCTTACTGGTATTCTCAGGCAGTCTCCTGTAGGGACACATCAAGTTTTTTCTACCATCAACTTTTATTCTTTTGATACTTTGAAAGTAAGACTGACTCTCATTTAGGGCTGCAACTAACGATTATTTCAATAATCGATTCATCGGACGATTATTTTTTCGATTAATCGATGAATCGGCAAAAAAAAAAATGTTTTAATTTCCACCCCTTTATTCCAAAATTGAACATTTGACTGACATAGCAATTCACACTAAAAACAGGTTTCTATTTGACTATTGTGTTAGTAAAATATTGAATAATAAAAAAATAAAAGTTAGTCAAATAGCTTTAAAAAATAAATGTACACAAAAATATATACAAATGTGTCTTTATACCTGCACAATATGTAGCTACTTTGTAAAATGTGTCCTTGAGGGAAGAGTGTAACCTGGATTAAAAATGTGGATTATTGTAACCTGGATTAAAAGTGTGGATTATTGTAACCTGGATTAAAAGTGTGGATTATTGTAGTGAAGCCTTCGTCTTCAACCATCGACAGAGGCCTCATGTCAGTGATGATCATTTAAGGATGTTTCAGTGAAGACAGCTGCTGCTGTGGTGTCCATGATGTCTGTCCATCATGAAGGATGTTGTTGTTGTTGTTGTTTTCTGGAATGAGACAGTAAATATGTTTTATATCATAATTTACAGCAACTCAAGAAATGCCTTGTTTCACTTACAGTGTTAGGTTCAGGCCAAAGTAGCTAAAAGAGCAATTAAACACACACACACACACGCACACACGT